GAATAGTGGATAGTTGCCAAACAACAAGACAGCCTCTGACTGATATAAATCCATACACGCTTTAGCGCAGCACGTTGCCCCCCTCCCTTTTCCCAAAATATATCCCCCTTTGCCAAAAATTCAACGTCATGTCCCCGTCCGCCCATCCCGACGCTCCCATCATCATCTTCGGAACGGCCAACTTTGGCAGTCCGGAAGATTCAAAGGGGAAACTTTTTGGGCCTGTGACGGTGGAGCAAGGTAGGGAGTATCTCGATGTGCTCCAGGAATTCAATGTCGATGTGCTTGACACGGCTCGAATCTATGTATGTTTCTTGCTTCCGTCACATCATATCCCAGAGCGCGAAGGAATTGGCAAAATAAATGTGCGACATCATCGCATAGAATGCTGACATGATGGACGGTGTAACAGAGTGGTGGTGAGAGTGAGAAGTTACTCGGCGCCCTGGATGCATCTCGTGAGTTCAAGATGTGCACAAAGGCAAGCGGTACATTGGATGGATGCGGTACAAGGGATGCCGTTCTTTCTGCCTTCAAGGCCTCATCCGAAGCCCTGGGCGTAAAAGAGGTGCGTAGAAGAATGCAGCCGCTCACACTCCCACAGTGTCTCACTTGATGCAATATCCATGCCAACATCATACAGGTGGATACCTACTACCTCCACACCCCAGACCGCACCACCAGCCTCGAAGAAACAATGGACACCATAAACGAGCTCCACAAAGCCGGCAGCTTCAAAACCGTACGTCCACCCCCACCCCCCCGAACATCCACCCCCATCTAACCACCCACTCCCGCCCCCCAGTTCGGCATCAGCAACCTCCGCGCCGACGAAGTCCAACACCTGCACACCTACGCCCGCTCAAAAAACTACATCCTCCCCACAATCTACCAAGGCACATACAATCTCCTCTCCCGCCAATGCGAAACCAAACTCCTCCCCCTCCTCCGCACCCTCGGCATCCGCTTCTACGCCTACTCCCCGCTCTGCTGCGGCCTGCTCATCAACGCAGAAGCAAAGTTGCAGGCCTCGACCGGCCGCTGGGATACCTCGCATTTTGGGGGCAAGTTTATGAATGCGTTGTATAATAAGCCGTCGTATATTGCCGCCAGCAACGCCTTTCAGGATATGTGTGGCAAGTATGGGGTTAGGCCGGCGGGCGCGGCGTATCGCTGGGTGAGGTATCATTCGGAGTTGGAGGGGGGGTTGGGGGATGGGATGGTGGTTGGGGCGAGTTCGGCGAGGCAGTTGGAGGAGTCGTTGGGGGAGATTGAAAAGGGGCCGTTGGAGGAGGGGTTGGTGGGGGAGTTGGAGGGGTTGTGGGATTTGGTCAAGGAGGATGCGCCGGCTTATAGTTTGTGATTGTGTTTGTTGGGCTTCTTTTTGCTCGGGGGCTGCAAATGGAGGGATTGGTGGTGGGCAATGTGTACATGTTTTTAAGCTGTGTTTAGGAATGGATGGGGATGCTGTTTTGAGGCATTATAGAGAAACCGGATGTTGATGTACTTTCATGACACCCGGATGCTTTGTTCAATCAACACACAAGTCACATTTCCACCATCCCTCTACCACGTTCTCCCATGTTGATTACACCAAATTCTCAAAACGTCAAAATCTTGTAAAAGCATCCAAAGGTTCATAAATAACTCTAAATTTCCATGGCAAATGAGCAAGCAACCTAACCATCATGCATGCAGCTATCAAAATAAATGAAGGTCGAGGTAATGTAGATTCTAAAAAAAAAAAAGACCAAAATACAACCATACACCAAAACCTACAACGTAAAATGCACAAGGCAGACATTGAACAGAGACAGTCGCATGCATACTTTACTGTCTGTAGCGATTTGGATGGTAAATCTCGGGATTGAAATACGAAGTCACAGACAGTCCGGTCTTCTTGAACGTGCAAGAAATGTAGGTATGAAGACCAAGCCCGGAATCGAGAGATCGATGTGAACTGTCCTTGGAGTTAGCACCCGACGCGTACAGCCGACACCCGCATACTTACAAAATATCCGAAAGCGCGTCGACGTAGTTCTCCGCTGCTACAGTCTGTCCGCGGCGCTCAAAATATGTAGCCAGACCCTGGGCAATGGACAAGTCGTTGCTGGCATAATGCCGCACGGGAATGTACACTTTGGGAACGATTGCGTCTGACGTCGGTTTAATCTCGAAATAGTAGAGAACACCAGAGGTTCGATGAGGGACAGATGGAAGTTCCTGGTCTGACGGAAAGTCTTTTGGCAGACCCAGGACGAGCGCCCATAATTCACGTAAGCTGGCCACTGAAGCGGCATCGAGAGGGGCCTTGGCACCCATGGACAGCATTCGGCACACGCTATCGAAAGACGTCCCCCTGTGGCGGATGTAAATCTTGGCTCGTGATTTGACAGGACTGACACAGTCGATTCCAACGATTTCAATCTCGGGGCGATGGTAGCTAGTCGCTGAGAAGGCCTCGAGGTCGGAATTCAACCTGCGAAAGGCTTGCATGAACAGGGACCCGAAATGCAGCTCGCAAGCATCCATCGCCTTGACCACCAGTTCGGAAACCGGGGTATTCGACTCAATCGACTTGAGTCCAGGCATGAAGTACGCCTTCAGACGAGGATGTCCGACATCAAGGTCGAAAGCGACAAAGTACTGGGAGCGTCCTTCAAGAGAGAGCTTCCGGGTGCCAAACTTTTCGCGGGATGTAGTCAGCGCCTCGGAGAAGACGTCGAACAAGGTCAGATCCAAGGTGTGGTGGAAGGCGGGCCGAAGTCCATCGACAAGCTGGTAGACCATCTTCTGGTTCAGAGGGTCGGCTTGCGTGCCCGCATATTTTCCGATTGGCTCTATCGAGAAGCGAACACTGGACTCTCCCTCGGCGACACCCCAATCCCAGCTCAACTCGAGGGGAGAGTAGTCGTCGGTCATGAAGCTGTTCCATCCGGTTGGGTAGCCTTCGGGGGAGGGCCGTCTACCTAGCGAGGGTAGGACATAGATGTAGTAGAAGAGCAGGTGCTTCTGCTGTGCGTCTTGGTCGTAGCCAATCAACTCCATCATCCGGCCCAGCATGGGCGCGGTTGTCGTCCACCAGAAGCGCGTGTCCTCATCGTACAGCCTCAGCCATTGGTTCAGAGACAGCCAGACGCCCAAATTCCTCTGCTCTTTCTTTTCATAATCCCGAATGTTGGCAGCTGCAAGGTTCAGATTGCCCTGGAAGAGACGAGCTGTCTGCATCGTAGGCTGATTCGAGGACTCGGACGGTAAAGGCAAAAGGGTATAACGTGTGTGGAGACGCCAGATTGGGTGCGGTCAAATGCCCAACCGTCGCAAAGGCTATATACGTAGGCCCTATCTGGAGGCATGCTGACCTGGTGGATGCTGGATAGTGTACGGAACGGACTGGCTGAGCAAACAGACAAGAAACGATGACTTTCGGCGGCCGAAAAGGGGGGGGGGAGAGCGTCCGTTTATTTCAGTGCAGAGTCGGCTCCTTTTCTCCATCCTGCCGATCCTTGCGCGCGCTTTTAACACGTGATTGTTTCGCAGAGATTCGGGAGAGATTTGGGAGATGACATGACGTCTTGCAAGCTTTGTTTTTTGGTGTTGTGGTCTTCTCGGCGACATTCCCACCTGGCCCATGTTTCCTTTTCGGAGACATTGGCTCGGAGACATTCCACGCGCCTTGTCTCGTCCCTCGGCCAGCCCATCCACACTCCTCCACACTCTCCATTCACCCAATCCACCCAATCCATCCCTCCACACTCTCCATTCACCCAATCCACCCAATCCATCCAACCACCATCTCTTGTGCAAATAAAGGAGCCGCCCAAGACAAAGCCAAGCCAAGAGCAGCTCGCATAAAACGGGCCCCAATCTACTCCCCCCCCCCCATTCCATGCAGACAATCACGCTGCAAATCTCCTTTTGATCGCCTTTTGCACCTCCTTTTCCCAAAGGGTGAGATACAACATGGCGACTTGCCCCAGCATCTTCGACGCCCTGGTCATTGGAGCCGGTCCCGCTGGCCTGTCTGCGGCATTGGCGCTGGGACGGGTGATGCGAACGGCAGCCATCTTCGACACTGGTGTCTTTCGAAATGCACCTGCAAATCACATGCATACAGTGCCCACGTGGGATCACCAGAGCCCCGTTGCCTACCGGCAGCAGTGCATCACCGAGTTGCGCCAGCGTTACAATGGCACCATCCATTTCGCCAATACTGGAGTCGCCTCGGTCAAGGCTGGCAAAGACAGCGACTACGTCGTCACCGATGAGGCAGGCAAGACGTGGATGGGCCGAAAAGTCATCTTGGCCACGGGTGTCAAGGACGTGATGCCAGATGTCAAAGGCTATGCCCAAGCATGGGGCCGGTACATGTAAGTCGAAATCTCCGCAGAGTGGCCATTCATCAAACTCACCGCAGCGCCCTCGCAGCTTCCACTGCCTCTTCTGCCATGGTTTCGAACAGCGCGGGTCAGAGTCGGCCGGATTGCTGGTCCTGGACAAGACGATTCTGTCGACGGAGATTGAAATCGCCGTCCACTTTGGCCACCTCGCCCTGCAATTTGCCAAGAAGATTACCGTTTTCCTAGACGGCCATGTTGAATTCCTAGAAGATCCCCGTATCAAGGGTCTGGAGGCCCAAGGTTTCCTCATCAACCCCAAGCCCATTTCCAAAATCACCTATGCTGCAGATCCAGAGCCAGGCTTCGCTACCGTCCACCTGGAAGACGGAAGCGAAGAAAACATGTCCTTTTTGGTTCATCGTCCAAGGACACTACTTGCCGGAGACTTTGCCAACCAGCTGGGATTGGAATTAACTGAAGCCGGTGACGTCAAGACCACTCCTCCCTTCTACGAGACGAGCGTCAAGGGCGTCTTTGCAGCCGGTGACTGTGCTGTGCCATTGAAGCAGGTCGTCTGGGCGGTGTCGACAGGCGTCAGTGCTGGCTCTGGCGTAAACTTCCAGTGCTTGGGGGCCGACATGGCGGCACGGTCGAAGCTCTCATGATGACTGCGCGTGAATGGGCTGGCGAAGATCCTAAAGGCATCGAGCATCTGTCCACTCTCAGTTTCGGTGTCTACCTATATACATCATCGAACTACCTATCCATGTATCTAAAAGATTCCTCACACCATGGCTTCTTACATGGCTCCTCCAAGGACCTAGGGTAGCATGCTAGTCATGTGCATACTACTCCACATGACATATCAATGCCCTAAGCTCATTCTATCAAGCGTGACCTAACATCCAACTTTGCCTCAACCGCCATCACTCTTTCCCAACCCAACATCACCCAATCATATCACGATAAACTACTAACCTCACCAACCCAGCTGTACAGATACTGATATCTAGCACCGTCTAGAGATTATTACCCCCGTAGCCATTGCAATTACCCAAAACCCCAACCCCCTCTCCTCATTCAACAACCTCCCCTCGTCAAAACATTCATGACATGGTACAGTATCTATCATCTCTCCACCTACCTCGTAGAAATCGTACAACTACCCTCCATCCCACTCTACAACTCTCTTTATTATACCCTGTATAATATACTACATTACATACTTAACAGCGTCTCTCTATCCATCCCTTTAAAACTGTATCCTAGCTCTCATCCTACTCTACTCTACAACGCCCCTTGCTGTAATCTTTACAACATACTATACTATTCGTGTACCATTCTATCTTGGTTTATACTGTTCGTTTACCATTCTATCTTGGTGTATTATCCCATCTCCGCCTTTCTCTTAGGCTTCTTACTCCTGCCCTTCTTCCTACTTTTATACCCTCCCCTTACCACAACCGTTTGATAGATGACATCATTCAGTATCCCCTCTCCGCCCATCTTTAAAAGTCTCACCCCTTGCCTTAATCCTCCCCCTCCCCCTCTCTCCATCAAAACTCAACCCCACATACCCATCCCGCCATACTCTCCCTCTCCCTCTGAATCGCGTACGTTCTCAAAGCCTGGCTTCCAGCGGCCCAGAAAGTAGGATTGTAGATTGTATATGCGGATATACACCCGTCTGCGTTTTTCCGGGATTTCAAACTCCTAGGTTGAGAATAGGGGCGAGGGCGGGGGAGTGCGGGTTATGCGTTTGGAAATGAGGTGGGGGTGGGGATTTGGGGTTAGGTTTAGGCTGGGGCTGAATGGGGTATTTGGAGCGGGAGGAGGAGGAAGTAGAGGGGAAAAGGTGGGTTTTATGCGCTGGTTGCACAGGCACAATGAATGTAGCCGTAGACTCGAAAGACTCGAGGAGGCAGCATCAGGTGTCGAATCAAAGCGAGGGCACACTTCAATCACACGCGAAACATGAAATGATCTTCACCATCCGCCAATCTATTGGCATTCACCTCCTCTACGCCCCATCCCCGACCCTCTCAATCGACTCCTTCTCATCCAACTTCCCCACCCCGCCACCCAACGCTGGCCTCAGAACCTCCACCCTCTCCCTCGTAAACTTCCGCGCAGAAACCCTGTGCTCAAACAGCAAATCCAGCTCAGAGTACGTAAACCCCTTCGGCTCCGGGAGGCGAAAGTAGCCCCACACAATGAAAAGGGCGGCAATACCGGCCCAGAAAAATCCGCCTTTTGCACCCCAGTTCCAGTCGTTGCGGCCGACCATTTTCGGCATAATGGTGTTTGTTACAAAGACAATGGAATTGTAAGAGGCGCGAGAGAGGGCCACAGTTTTCACGCGTAGGCGGGAAGAGGGGATTTCAGCGGCTAGCGAGTAGCAAATTGGACCCAGTGAAAGCTGGGTGTGGCGTTTTTTCGTTAGTATTGTGGAATGGGAAATAGGCGTCTGGAGTGCGCCAGTTTCGGCAAACACGTACCTGGAAGCAGAAAATCATAAGGACGATGAATATGCCGCCTGCTAAGCCTGCGCTTTCGTTTGTTGGCGGTGCAAGCCCAAGGAATCCGACAATCAGCAGGATGAGAAAGATGGCACAGAGACCGGTGAGGTAGATGGGTCGACGGCCAAATCTCGTCATAATCCACCACGCAATGAAACAGCCAATTAAACCCAGGCAGTCTTGCCCAACAGTCAGATAGAAAGAATCCTCCTGCTTCAGACCGACACCCAAAAAGAATTGGACCCCAAACCCCATAAAAGTCGTGCCAACTAGCGCCTGGGTGACAAACGCCATAGCCGAGACCTCCGTGCGGTGAAGGTCGCTTCCGCGGAACAGGTGCCAGTAGTTGGTACCCGCGCCGACTTCCTTTTCATATTGATTGGTGACGACCATCATCTCAACGTGGGAGTCGACGTCAAACTGGACGCCCGGAGTAGGCGTGGTGATTTTGCGGATCGCGGCTTTGGCTTCTTCGATGCGGCCTTGACGTACGAGCCACCAGGGAGACTCAGGCGCGAGGAGTGTGGCGAGGATGATGGGGATGGGCCAGACCCATTGGAGCGCAAAGGGGATGCGGTAGCCCCATTGCGAATTGTTCTTCATTAACCCGGTTAGAATACCAGTGGACAAGAGGCCGCCGATGACCCAGCACATGTTGATCCAGGATGTCATGTAGCCTGTGGACTTTGTCAGCTAGGGAACATACAGGCAAGGACTCGGTAGTCAATTTTTACCTCGAAGATGAATAGGGCATAGGTCTGCGGCGTAGGAGATGGCAAGGGTCTGGAAGACACCCCATGGTAGACCTTGGATGATACCACCGACGAGGAACATCTCCAGGCTGGTCGAAAAGAAGGGGATGAAGATTGCTCCGGTCATAAACACCATACTCCCAATCATTGTCTTCTTGTATCCAATCCACTCGGTTATATATCCGTTGATAATCAGGCCCAATATACATCCGACCTGTTGTATTATTAGAGCCATCCATAGCACATGGAAACAATACAAACATACCTGTGTGCCGTTCAAAATAATAGTCTGCCAACGCGACGACACAAGCGGAATCCCGTCTGCGTCGACCTGATCTCCAAAACGGTTCTTGAAAGGAGTGAAGGCGAAGAACTTGTTCATCAGACTCGTATCGTACCCCTCCATGACCACGCACAGTGAGATGACAAAGGAGAATACAATAGCCTTCCACCAGAACCGCAACGACTGTCTGACGGTCATATTACGTTCATTATCGATGGCCGTGTTTGTGTCGTCGGTAACATAGTGAGCAGATGCCGACTCGACGCGCTCAGCGACATGGCCTTCCCCTTTCATCGTCGAAGCCATGATAGGTGATAGAAGGATCCCAGCGTAGTGTCACCCAGCGTAGCCGGCGTACCTCTTGCAGTTCGAGAGAAAGGGACTGCAGGCACAGGCGTGGCTCCCAGGTCGATGACCCCGGCGATGAAGCGAGTGTCCAAAGTGATGTATACTACCAGGCTTGCTGGCAAACTATATACATGTATCCAAGATAGGTCCAGGGAAGAAACCGCGGCTACATTCACGTGGCACCAAGGGGCTGGGCCCCACGCGACAAGGACCAAAGCGCCGGGTGACAGCCAAAGCAGGGTAAGTCTCGATCGAGTTGCGGGGAAAGGGACATGGCGCAGTTTTGTTCATCCAAGCTGCCCATGGGGGAATCATGGACTTTGTCACGTTTGGACTTGGCCATTCCCCAAGTGCGACTTCGTCGAGACTAAGAGAAACTTTCCCGACAATAGACCGCCGCTAATGCCTATCGAAGTGGACTTCCGCAGTTGTCGGGTGAAGTGGGGGAAGTGTGTATGGTCCTCATCCTTCCGAATAGGGCATAGCCAAGAGATGGCCACCCTACTCCGTCTCGGCGTTGTATGTAATTGTAATTTTGTGTACTGTGTGATACCAGCACGTACGCTAAGACGTACTACTCCGTGGTTCGCTGAGGTGCGGCTTGCGCCGCTGGCCTAAGGTTGGTGGGGGTGAAGGGAATTAGGCTGTCGCGATCTATACCTTTCGTTGTAACTACTTCGTTGTATTAGCTCGCATGGCATAATGGTTTTGGGCAGACATTTGGCCAGACATTTGACCACACATTAAACCACACATTGAACCACCCAGGAGCTAGTTTGGCAGTCATTGTGGACGGTATAACGTACATAGTAGGCCAGAAGCTGGTCTCAATGCTAGTGATAGTACTGCGGTACAGCCAACTGGTGGAGGTTGCGGTTGGGATCTTAGCGCTTGGTGAGAGTGAAGAGAAGGTGAGGTTGAGGACTGGGTTACCGGTATAAGTCGGCTGCTGCCTACTCCTAGCGGCAGCGTACACGTGCCCTGTTCTAGCCACATAAAGACTAGTGCGTCCACGGAGCGGACTAGCGAGTCGAACCTCAACACCATCGATCACGATGTTCCTCGCTCATAATCTACCTCAACGAGCAGATATCTTTCAGCCGATAGATTTGTAAGCAAGGTACACACAGCTAGTAATGCCTTGGCCTGATCTCATTTCTCAGCCAAGAGAGCCAACATCATGCCTAACAGAGTAGGAAGGGTGAGGATGGATACTAGCCCTTCTCGCGGAATGGCTTCCTTTCTCGGCCGTCTCTGGGATTCACTCGGCCCAGAGGCCTCTTGTAGTTAGCTGATCAAGCCAACAAACTAACTTAGTTTTCACGTTCCTGTGAATAGTTTTCCGCCTTTGTCCTCATCTCACACCCTTGCAACCCGTTGCCAGATCTCTGGAGAGATCATCGACCATAGGTAGTGAGACCTACTAATGCGCAAACCATCTGCATGCAACAGTTGCCGGTATGTAAGCTCCTGTCCCATGCTTAGCTCTTCCATTATCCGTACTATCACAAGCAAACGCCTGGCATCCCAGCTGATTTGGGGGTTTCTCGAGGGCTCGACGGCGCAAATGCACGTATCCCATAGAGGTTTCTTCTTCATCGCCATCATGCCACTACTGCCTGTCACACGGGACCAAGTGTGTACAAGGACCGCCTGAAGGGGGATATTATGCCAAGCGACAAGCAAGGATACAGCAATTTGCTGCGGCCGACAGCCAGCAAGGCGAAAATGCGAGCAGCCCTGGAGCGGAAACGACGCAGGCGCATCAACTGCCACCCATGGAGTTGAGGCTGGAGCTGGTGGCGCTGTACTTTGAGTACATCCACGACCAGTTCCATTGCATGTATCACCGTCCCTCATTCGTAGAGTTGGTGCAGAGGGGTAGACTCCCTGGCATTATCTTATTCGCCATCTTCGCTCTGGCTGCCCGCTTCTCTTCAAATGAATGCTTCCAGGGTACCGATCCACGCGAAAGAGGTCGAGGCTACCGCGAGACAAGCGAGCAGCTATTCAACATGCGCGACATCTCGCCCACTTCTGTCCAGGCCTGCGTCTTGCTCGGCGCATATGCAGCTGCAAATGGGGAGACGGATGTGGAGAACATGTACTATAGTACGGGCGGCCGCATGTGCCTGGCCCTCAACCTACCCAACCGACCCGTCGCCAGCCTGCTGGAGCGTGAACTCAATATTCGGATTTGGTGGACGCTATGCATGGTCGACGTGTGGTCGTCGACAGCCGTCAAGCTTCCGCGCATCATGCCCGTGGACGACACCATCCCCTTTCCCATTGACGAGATTCCATTTCGCTGCATGAGCACAGGATTCGGGTCCATCTTGACGCATGAGCAAGATGTCCGCACCTCGCCGCTCTTGGCAGAGATGATAAAATTGAACAGAATACTGGCAAAGATTATAGATTTCAATAGGGCATGCGTCTCGGAGCACCTCGAGGGTGCAGTCCTGGAGATGGGTGTTCGTGAGCTCTCGCAGGACTTGCATGTCTGGCTGGAGAACCTGCCCGAACACATGCGCGATACGCCAGGGAATTTTCTCTACTTTGCATCGCAGGGGCTGGGACGCATGTTCGTCGCCGTCTACCTTGGATACTACCACTACGGTCAACTGCTCAACTACCAATTCTTATCGAGCAGCACTGCAGACTCATCCACCCATCTAGCACAGTATGCCGAAGCGTGCAAGCAGCACGCCGCCCGCCTCTGCTCGCTCGTCTACCTCTGCAACGCCACACCGGGCAGCAATGTCGTCTACTCGGCTGTCTCCCACGTGCTCGTCATTGCCTCGACGGTCCAAATCCACACACTTCTCTTCTCCGGCAACGAACACCAAATCCGCATCTCCAAGACGCGGCTCGAACGCAACTTTGAAATCCTCCTGCGCCTACGCACATACTGGCCCAGCGTGGACGGCGCCATGAGCCGGCTCCGCGCATTTCACCAGACCTGTCTGCGCAGCAAGGAAACCAGTTTTGTGCTGGACAGATGGCTGTTGCGGTTCCTGGTCCAGTTTGCGCCGCACATGGAGCTCGAGCCGAGGCACAATGATCCAGAGTATGAAGCATTACTTGCATTGAGCAAGCAGTCTCCACTGTCATGTTATTCAGGAACTTCCATGTGAAAAAGGGACTCATCTGTTTGCCAAGAGCGGTTGGATTGCAACTTTCCCGGGCGGAGTGGGGCGGGTGAAGGTGGGGGTGGGGTACCCAGGCTATTAGCGGCGGAAAATGCAGAGACCCTGTTTCGCGAATTCCCCCCCTCCCCCTCCCCCCACTGACGCGAGATCCTAGGCTCTCGAGCAACAAGAGACCAAAGGCAGAACTTGGAAAAATGTCTTCAAGAATTCTCGATTCGATTCGAAAACACTGCTCGAACCTCCACATCTGAGATGTCCCTGTCTCTCTCTCTCTCTCTCTCAGCATGGCATTCTCTCCCCCCACCCTTCTCACAACAGCAGCGGCGGCGGCAGCACTGTTCAGCACCGCATCTGCTCTCAACAATGGCCTCGCCATCACCCCTCCAATGGGCTGGGTATGTCTTCCCCTTGGCTCAAAAAACAACATACACTCACATAGCTACCCAGAACAATTGGAACAGCTTCGGATGCGACGTCTCAGAGAAGCTCCTCCTCGACACCTCCGCCCAGCTCGTCCACCTCGGCCTCCGCGATCTAGGATACCAATACGTCGTGCTCGACGACTGCTGGCAGGACCCCAAGGGCCGCGATGGAACTGGGAAATTGCAGGTTGATTATAGCAAGTTTCCCAATGGCTTGAATGCGATTTCGGAGCATTTGCATGGCCTGGGACTCAAGTACGGGATGTATAGTAGCGCGGGGGAGATGACGTGTGCCAGATTTCGTGCGTATCTTTTTTTTCGTTTTTTCCAAAAAGTATGCGGCTGGCTAACTGTTGGAAATTATAGAAGGGTCATTGGACCACGAAGGAGACGATGCGCAGAGCTTTGCGGATTGGGGCGTCGACATGTTGAAGTATGACAGCTGCTACCACATGGGACGCGTAGGAACGCCCACTGCATCCTTCAACCGCTTCAAAGCCATGGCCGATGCGCTCAAAGCCACGGGTCGCAACATCCTGTTCAACCTCTGCAATTGGGGCGAAGACCTCGTTCACACTGTGAGTTATTCTCTGACCCCAACATCATGCACGCAATGACGTTGCACCATTCGCACACGTGGTATTCTGTATCCAACAAACAAGTCCATTAACGGAGCATCCAGTGGGGAATGTCCATCTCCAACTCTTGGCGCATAACCGGCGACATCTACGACTCCTTCACGCGCCCCGACGACCTTTGCGGCTGCAGCACCCTCCCCCTCGGCGCCACAAACTGCATCGCACCCGGAACCCACTGCTCCGTCCTCTTCATCCTCAACAAAGTCGCCCCCTTTGCCGACCGCAGCATCCCCGGCGGCTGGAGCGATCTCGACATGCTCGAGGTCGGGCAAGGCGGCATGACGGACGACGAGTACAAGGCGCACTTTGCCCTATGGGCCGCGCTCAAGTCGCCCTTGTTCCTGGGCAACGATTTGAGAAGCATGTCCGCGGCTGCGCTGTCCATTGTTAACAACCCAGCCATCATTGCACTGAGCCAGGATCCACATGGCAGGAGCGCAACGCGTGTGAGGCGCGAGACACAGGACGTAGCAAAGGATGAATGGGGTGTCGGCGAACTCCACATCTGGGCCGGACATTTGGCAAACGGAGATCAAGTCGTCATCCTCCTGAATGCCGGCGGCCAAGACACAGACATGAGCGTCTCCCTTGCGGAAATCTTCATCCCCTTTGGACCCGGCGGTTCCGCTCCACACGTCAAATTCGACTGGGCAATCCACGATCTCTGGGCCCACCGTATGCCGCAAGACACGGCGGAAGCCCTGCTCGCGGCCCGCGAGGCCAGCGAAAGAAACGCCATTTTGAAGCACGCGGATTGGTATAATGCGACCGAGATGCCGTATGCAGAGGGTCTGGCGCGCGAGGATCCAAGGCTGTTTGGCGAGAAGATTGGCGTTGTGGAGGCTGGGGGTGTGCTGAGTGCGCGGGTGAAGAGACATGCGGCGGAGGTGTATCGGTTGAGGAGAGTGGCGAGAGAGGGTGAGACTTTCAAGGGGAAGAGCATTTCGAGAGAGGATAAGGATGAATTGTAGGGTTTTCTTTACTGCTACTTTGTTTTGGCGCACACGGATTCAAGCATACTTTGGACGGTCCCGAAGATCCATGTCCAGATTCATGGGCACCGTCTTTGTTCGTTTTTCGGAGAGGGAGTGGGAACATGGCCAGGCGGCAGGCGCTATGGGATTTGTAAATACGCGGGCAAGATGGAATGAGAAATATAAATTCAAGTAGGCTTTGATCTATTGTCCTAAACTAAATATAGGCATATAAATGTACCAAGAGCCACGGCCGACTGTCCCCTCTTCATCTTCATCCTTTGAACAGTCGCTTCGCCATGGCCAGGTATTACTTACATATTGTAGCCATATATCCAATCCAATCCTGCCCTACCTGTACAAGTCATCACCAAGCTCGCTAACACCCAGAGTCGTGTACCATTCACAAAGCTCAGCATGCGATGCACAAAGTCCAAAAGGCCGTCAGAATCTGCACTTCTGAGCATCCAAATCCACTACATGGCCGTCACGACCTCCCCGCGCCCTTTCTTTGCTTGACCCTCGAACCAATCGTGCCTTGGTCCGTCGCGCTCGTCGCTCTCTCCGGCGTACTCGCATCCTCGGCGCGCACCTTCTGCAGTCCATTTGCCACGCCATCCACCGCCTCGCCAATAGCCTCTTTCGCGCCCTCTGCAATTTCCTTTTTGCGGTTCTCGGTCTCCTCATCCGTAGGCTCGTACTCGCTGCGATCATCATCTGCATCCTTGAATACCACAAAGCGGTACGCGATTCTGCAGATGAAGAACCACCAGAAGAGATTGACTGCTTGAAGAGAAGCGAGGAGTGCAAAGGTGATGTACTGGCTGATCCAGCACTTGTACTGTTGAGTCTCCCAGTTGAGCTCAAAGGGGCCAACGGTCTTGAAGGTGGTGATGATGGAGTAGAGAATCTTGAGGTTGAGGTAGTGCCGGGTGTAGCCCCAGATACACATGAAGACGAAGAAGTAGGGTCCGACGATAGGGGAATCGAGGTAATTTAAGATTTTGGATGTCTGTCATGTTGGGGTTAGTGTTTGCGTGGCAAGATGAGTGGTCACCAAACTTACAGCCAAGAAGAAGTCGGATATGTCGTGGGTGATGTAAACAGCGATACCCATATACGTGAAGTGGAAGCGGTAACTGAGCCAGATCAAACTAACGGTAATGATGTGATGTGCGACGAGTTCTTTGAAATCTTTCCGCGGCTTTTCTAGCATGAGGAGAAGCACAATCGCTTGCTGCGCCCAGTAACTAGCTTGAAGCAGATAGTACGCCTTGAAGATGGCATCGTGGGTCCTGTGAGGAAACCCCTCGTACATGCCTACCGTGTTGAAGTACCATACCGGCGTTCGCGACATGACCCATACACCAAAAGGCCCATATATTCCAAAGTACAGGGCTGTATACGCCTGCTCCATGAAGCGCGACTGCTTCGCTCTGCTCTTGATCCCACAAGCCACGGCAATGGGGCGGATGAGACGCTGCATGCAAAATTCGCGTGTAAAACTCAAGACGATGATGTAGAATGCGACAAAAGCAAAGTCGCGCGCGCCTTTGCCATAGTGAGTGGGCGCATTCGGGTCTGCGCGGACGGAGGCTGGGAGTAGGGGGTCGTCGCGTGGGAGCGGGTAGGAGAGGAAGAGGCAGGCAGAGAGCGGATTCGAAGGGTATGGGTAGACGAGGTAGAGTGCGATGATAGTAAGGCCGAGAATGAGAGGACCCATCCAGGTGTGCCGTATGCATACACGTTTGAGTCTGGAAAGAGCCCGGCGGAGGGTGCGTCTTTTGGAGCGACGGCCAGTCTTCTCAGGTTTCTGTGTCATGGTCAGTCTGTACGTACCTGCCAAGAGGGAATGTCATAGTGAGATAGTGAGTGCTATGAGATGTGCGAGGCCTGGTGAGGTCTGCACAGGTCCAAGTTGCAACTTACCGACGATTCCATGCCCGTTGGGCTCTTCAGCGGCGGTGTCACACTTCTATGCGTCGCGAAAGCAGGCACATCGACGTCTCCAGGTACATCAGCCCCAAGTCCGCTGGATTTCCTCCGCCGCCTTGTTGTGCCGTCTGAGCCATTGGCCTTGGAAATCGCGCCGTTGAGGGGAGGAAACGGCTCCGTCATCTTTTCAAGCCAGAGAAAGAACTGCAGGCACAGCAAAGGCCTGGTATTACAAAAAATGTAGCTATTATGTTTACAAAAAGAAGAGAGACACGTTTGCTTGTGTTTGATGCTCGCGTGCGACGTGGGGAGGGTCGAGGGTGTGAATTGGGGAGAAACAGAGGCAGAGGCGGACCAGCTTCCCAAGAGCCTAGGCACGGTAGTTACCGTAGTTATACCTAGGCTAGCTGGACCTAGGGAAGATCGTACCTAGCTGCGATGGCCTTGGCAGGTATTAAGGGACGCAACGTGTATTCCTCCAGGACAATGATATACCGTTGTGCTCTATTCATAGCATTCAATCATAAGTAGAGGTTCAGACACTTCACCACTTATGCCTTGATTAGGTTTAGTAAGAGTTGTAGGTAGGAAGTTTGGACCCCCAAGAGCTCTCCAATTAGTCCCTTGTTCAATGTGGAAGCATAGAGAAAGCTAATATAATTAGAAGGCGTGGTAGTACTATAGAGAAACATACAAGGGTCGTAGACACAGACTACAGTAATCTAGGAAAGATGGTACTGATGGTTATGGAGATGAGACATGACGCAAAAATGTTGGCTATTTTCCTAACTACTGTACTGGTACCGTACCGTACCTAGCGCTGGACCGGGACCTCCGGACCTCTAACAAGTACCGTAGTACCTAGTTGAAGACCATCATTCCTAGATACCTACTGAAATGCTGGCTCGAACTTGGTGAGGTGAGGAAAAGCACACGCTGGTTTGAAGTGTCCCTCTGCCTCCTCCGATGGGCTCACTGGCCTGAGCTTTGTCTTCCTGTTTGATTGCATGATGTCTCCTGTCTACACAACAACTGGTACCGTGTCAACACATAGATAGTGTTACTATCGCTGATTCTGCCACATCATCTAGACCGCTCCTGCAACCAGCTCGAAGAAAGCTTGCTATTCCGTGCGGTGTGTGAAGAATATCGCCAAGATAAATCAAATTACGCAGGAGAAAGACGCGCCTTGTATTCATCTAGAGTACTACTACCTATGCTACCTAACATGGACGAATTGCTATTGAACCAGGCAGCCATTGGGAGGGTTTCGAATACCTCTGGCTGGAGTACCGATACCATCCGCTGAGGCCGCTACTTAAGGCGGGCGTCTAATGTCGACCATTTAGCGATCACACTGTTAACGTTTAGCAAAAGCACTTGGTGTCGTGTGTAGCTACAAGATTTCTTACACAGACGATAGACTACACATAGGATAGTTAGTACTCCATTGCAGCACGTAGAAGATTAGGCAGGTAAAGAACTTACACCTTTATCTCCATTGCACCCATCAGTCCTGCCCCCCGGTCTCGAGTTAAAAAAAGGGTCCTGACAAACTCGCGGCGTAGGTAGTCCAGAATTCAAGAATGGATGAGCACACTATGCTAGAGTTTAGCATCTCTAGCCTGTTTTTTGCTTGCCAAATTTTACGTACGCAAAACACCCATGCGTCTGGATTCTACATCTATTTAGTGCCAAATACATTCTGTTAGGACCTGATACGTACTTCACAGTGTAAGTCGTCTGCAAGTGCATATCCTTCGTTACTGCAATCCATTACTGCTTTAGTTTCACCTTGGGCGGCTAACAGAGCAGCAGCAACAATACATGAAAGCTTCATGATCGGTAGTAACCTGCTTAAAGAAGTTGGCTAATTGTGGAGAAGAATCGATAACAATGCAATGATTACTCTAGGCTCGATGGAAGAATAGCACCTTTTATATTCGTCCTGACAGACCACAAGGTAGGTCTTAGCGCTTTCGTATTAATATACAATAATTAATACCTTGGCTATACCCGTGTGGCGGTGGAGCACTTCAAGACACAAGTGCTTATTGTATTGTCGTACTTAAATTATTGCAAAAGCGCTCAACGCTACCAGGAAAAGCAGGATGACCCGAGAGAATCCGATAGGGGTAGATTGCTTATTGGGATTGTTAGGGTCTGATATAATCCCTATTAGATATTTCTCACAATAGGTTGAACTTGTTAGACTATACTATTGGAGTCCACATGGTACCTACCTGTAAGCGTGTTTACCGATGATGGTCCAGATGGATTGCTACCGTATCCAGCAGAGCAGTACATATCCATACCTACCAGTACCAGTACGGCCACTAAGCACATGCCGGTAAGCCCACAGAAACGCGCAATAAGCCCCTTGACAACTACCATACCCACCCGCACCTATCGTACCTTGCCCCACATCTCGAAGACACAACAGTACCGGTACCCCAGCCTGATTCCATTTAATATCACCAAACGTACCATAGCTTATGTGGAATCTGGGTGGATTGGGTTGTCTAGGCTAGTTTCATAAAGGTGGGGCTTGAAACGGGGATGTTTGATGATGATATGGTTGATTTATGGACTATACTGAAGTGTGTATTAACCTCACTACAGCGAGTTTATATCTCTACCTACAGCACCGCGTCTGAAAAGCCGCTACCGTATCCGTCAACAGGTCTCAGCCGACTCCCCATCTAGGCAGTGCTTCTACCCTTACCGCCAAAGAACCGCTAGAGCTTAAAGCCTTAGTATTAATCTATAATAATAGACGGACCTTTGTCATGTGGCAATAAGCGAGAGACACAAGTGCTTACTGTATTGCGGCATTTACATCACTACTTTATACATAGTACAAGAGGCTTAGCTACTAGGAAAAGTACATTAGTCTTAAAGACTCCTTTATAGTTAACTGGATTAATTACATGCACGTGTTAGGACATGGTGTCTATTCCCACTGCGCCAAACAACCAAACAGGTGAGTGTCAGGCCATGGCGCTGCCTCGGCGCTTTGGGAGGATTATGGGGTAAGGTGTGCCTTGCGCCCATACGGTATATACTATTCTATTCGTGCATAATCCATTCATGGATTATACTCACCTTTTTGGTTGTTTGGCTCAGTGGGAACAGACGCCGTGTCCTAACAGTGAGTATAATCCATAGATATGGATTATCCACGAATAGATTAGTATATAATGTGCACAGGGCACACCATACCCCATAGGGTACTAGGAATAGCTTCTTGCTCTAGTTTCCAATAATGTGCCATAGTGTTTATCTACTAATGCTTTCTAGGCATTGTAAAACAAAGGCAGGTTAGTTAAGCAGATTGTTTTTGCATCCTTTCTCATTCATTGCTAGGACGATTGTCTATTGTCTAGCACATCAACTAAAAACCTCCTGGCTCCTGCCAAGTGCATGTTTATACCTCAAGTCTTGCAAATATCACCGTGAAGATACGCGCTATTCCACTCACCAACAAATGAATATTAAACTATCTTCGACGAACTGTACTATCTGTTTACGCTAATTGGCGCAGTAGAGAGTAGAAACCGTAGCGTAGCAGTTATAGTAAAGCGTCGAAAGCGAAAATTTGCCCTTGCCGTAGGTACCGTACCCATACCTATACGGTACCTACCACCACCAAGCACACAAACTGTTGTTGTAGCGCTCAAAAACACGCCCAAACTTGGAACAGCCAACAAGCACCTACATAGCACCCACCCTACCTCACCTAGTTAGTTCTCTTAGACTCACCAGCTCGCCACCCAAAAAAAAATCGACATTAGACTCGTGTGTTGTAACGGCACAGGTAGGAGGGACGTCTAAAAGGGGTCCAATACGACTTAAGGGCATATAGGAGTGCATATCTATATAGAGATTAAACAAATTAATCCTAATACCTATAGGTCTAGTATAACAGGATAAGAAGAACTTACCTATCTATCTAAGAGCGTAAGGCTCCTTTTATATTGCGGAGACAGAGGGGTAGATAAAGAAACCTTAGGCCTGAATCAGGCTTGGCTATGCTGATCTAAGATGGAACGAGGGCTGCAGTTGTTACATGTGTCGTACAAGTAACCTTCCCGACCGGCCCTTCACCCACGATTCACGGGCCATCGCCTAGCCTAGCGCACGCGCAGTAAGACGATTGCGCGGGAGACTTGCAAGATATGTAGTGTGTATAGTGATGAGGGTAATTGTGGTAATATAAACTATGTGTATGTATATCGACGCACATGCACCAAGTCCATGGCCTACCTACCGTACCTGCACAATCGCATCTTGGCACGCTATCTATCGACAGGTCGTAGCCGACTCCCCACCTGCGCACTACTTCTCCCTTTGCCGCCGAATAGGCCGACTAAACCAAGGTTCCCATCTTTGCCAGCGCCCGCGCCTAACCGCGCCCCAGCGCTCTCTAGATTCCTCTTGACCTCCTCCACCGGCGTGCCACCGCTCTCCACCGTCCCCAAGCTGCCCAAGCTATCCACACTGCCTTTCCGGATCTTACCGCCAATGCCTAGCAGACCCTTGATTCCGCCCGCTTTTCTCGCCGGCAATTCCCCTTTCCCCGCCGTCGCGATATACAAGAGGTATTTTAGGTTCGGCAGCGTGTGGCGGATATCCAGAGGACGGAGACCGAGCGCATTGGATAAAATTTCAATATCCTTATTGAGGAGGAAGACTGCATATTCAAAGCGATAGCGCACCACGCCACGCATGTAGAGGGGGTAAACGCGGAGATTGGGACTGGAGGCAGATTTGGCGGTTGGAGTGCCGAGGGCCAGAGGGTCGTGTATGGTGGAGGTGGAGCCTTGGAGGGTAACGGGGTAGGGGAGTATGACGGAGAGATAGGGGGATAGGAGGGTTACTATGTGTGCGACGTAGCCTAGAGCTGCTGCTGCGACGTCTTGGTCGGCTTCGTCAAAGGTGGAGTTGGGAAGTGGAAGACCGCGGATGGTGAAGCAGAGCGATTTCCCAGACGGAGAGGGTTCAATGAGGAAGATGCGTTGGATATCCTCGCATATACGCCGCCGTTGGGCATGTATAGCTTCGCATTGTTGGGCATGGAGCGCAAGGGTTTCGCTGTGCGTCTCGCGTTGAGAGATAAGCTCAGTGGAGAGCATTGATTGCTGTTCACGGCCTAGACGCATCTTTTCTCTTCGTTCCTCAATGTTGGCTTTCAACTCGTCGCGGCGACGGCGGGCGGCTACTACGCGGCGCTTTTCAGCAATGACGGCTGCCTCCACTGTCCTTAACTTTTCCTCGGTCTCAGGCACACATTCGACCGTGCTTATGGCTTCCTTGTTGGACTCAAGAATGTGCTCGATTTCGTCGGCGATGCGGTCTCGTGTCGCGAGAGCGTCTTGAATGCAGTCGTCTAGCGTCGAGAGGCGCATAAGCGCATCGTACGAGGAGGATTTGAGAACACGTCCTTCTGGGTGCTCCCGAGGTGGTGCAAGTACCTCTTGGTACACCCTCTCCTGCACTGGCAAGTCGGTAAAACTCGTGTATATTCCGTCTGTCATGTGGAACAGGACGCAATTCTGGGGTAGGGGATGTCTGAAGCGCCCAAGTGTTTTGCCAATGAATTGCAGCGACCTGAAGCGAACCGTGTAATCCAGGAGATACTGCCACTCGGTCATGGTCTCGCTCTTTGCCCAGACTCTGACCGTGAGCTTGTCGAGGCGTGTGACGCGAGGCCCACAGGCGCCCAGATCGAAGAATTTGAAGTTCGGGTTCATCGCCTTCTCTGCGACTTCTGAAACGTAGATTGGCTCTTCCTGCTCTTCTACATGCAAGGTGAAGAAGGTGTCGGCCATGCGCCCTGCTGTGATGTCTTCGAGCTTCTTCTGACGGGTAAGGGGACTGGCATTCGACCATTCCATTGTTGCTCGTCTTTCTAGCCCATTGCCTAATCGTGGTCTGGAGGAATTGGTGGGGGTCGTAGGACGATGCAAGCTGCCATTCTGCCGGGTAGCTTCTGAGGAGGATTGGAGATGGCTCGATGAGCGTGAATGGGACAGGCCTTTGCCTTGGCGCAGTGCAAGCGCTTTGGCAGGTGACTTCAGCGTACTGGGAATCGCTTCATCGTCAAACGTCTTTCCCCTTGCCCTCGATGGAGTGGCAGTCAGCGTGAGGTTGCGAATGGTGATGCCTTGGAGATGTCTGAGCTTGCGATTCTAACCCAACGTCAGCTAACAGCTATAGTATGTGTCTGTGTCTTGTTTTTCCCCGCAATGCATACATAAGGTAGCAACCATGGTCGCTCGCGAGGAGGCGATGCATCGAGCTGGCCATTGGCTTGGACGACCTCCTGTCCAGCCATGGTTACGTAGCCTACTGCTGTCTGTTCGGATGGCTAGGGGAGGTCAGAGAGGAGAGAGGCTGCGGGCGAGTGTGGCGGTGCCGATTCATCGATGCATGCCGTGGGACGATTCAGAAGCGCAAGACAAGAGCTCGCGCCACACTTCGTCATATTAATTGAATGTCGTCTTCGTCGAGGGTGTTGGGAGGTCCGACCGTATTGCAGCCAGCGGAGGTGCGGTTGCTCCGCCATGGTCCGTGCGTCGTGCCTTTCCGAACATCTTTTGCATCTCCATCACCACTCCAGCCATTTGCAGTGTGTGGCACCCCCTCCCTCTCCCTTTCCCTCACCCCCTCCCCCTCCCCCTTCTCCCTGCACTTCTCCCCGGCCGCCATGCCTCGTACCCTCGCCCGCCTGCGGTACAGAAATCCCCTCAAGCCTGTCAGATTCAACTTCATCAAAGACCGCGCCGAAATTGACTCCAAGGTGACCAAGTATGTTGAGCGACAGTCGCAACCAACTCCTCTCAAGCTGCAGACGGTTGTGAATGCCAAGGCGAAGCGTCAACCTACTGGCGTCGATGTACCGGAGCCGTGGAAGCCATTCACCTTGCGGGATGTCGTAGACCCGAAGAAAAAAGCCAAGCACGGGGAGATCATCTATGTGTTCCGCAGCACCAGGACAAATCAAATCCTCTACTCGTTACAGGAATTGCTGGATGTATGTCACGCAAACGATGCATGACCAATTGAGTTGCCACGCCCCAATACTAACAGAGGCTCAGGATCATCATCTCGAACAACTCCCCTTCATTGGCAAGCACTCGAAACCGCCTGTGCTGCGGCCCGACGAATGGCAGCCACACTGTGTGGTCACCTTTCCCAATGCCCATCAAGGCCACAGCGCCTTCCGTCGGCTGCGCGAGTTCCGTAAGCTTCACGAGTTCAATTGGGACAAGACGAACCCCGAGTACAAGCGATTGCAAGTCAAATCGCGCATCAGGAAGATCATGGACCAGCGAGCAAACTTCAGTGCCGATCTAGCTGAGATTTTACGCTCGCAAGAGGCATATGGAATCAAGACAAAGCAGGAGCGTGAAGAGCTGGACCGGCAAGCAAAAGAATTTTTGGAGAAGCGTTGGCAAGAAATCGACCAAATGGCCACTGCAGCCAAGCGAAAGGAGAAGATAACGGACAATATCAAGTTGCTAGAAGGTCAGATCCGCTCAATGAACGTCAAACTCCGCATGAGGCACCATCAGAACGAAGCCGACCAAAAAAGTCTCAAGACCACCAAAGAGAGTCTAGAGACCCGCCTCCGTAGAGTCAGATTCGCTGTACGGAAAGCCGAACAACTCCACGATACACATGCTACTCTCACAGCCCGCGCCGAACCTGCGAACGTAGAAGGTGCAGAGATGAAATTGGAGCAAATGCGATCCCAAGCAGAAGAATTGGAAAGGGCCATCGAGAACCCTGATCCTACAGACACGATCCAAGACACGGCAGTTGACCGCGAGTTCCTGGTCAAATTGAATGCCGATATCAATGCCCTAGAACAGGCCTTTGAAGCAAAGAAACAGCTCGAACCCGACCAAGACCCTGTCCGTCTATCCATCCTCCCCAGATACTTCACCTCGAAAACGCGCTCCCCAGTCTACACACTTTCTGGTGTCCAAGTCGCTTGGGCCGACCTGCAAGACGCCCTCTACGCCAAGGGCCAATGGCCAGACAGCATTGAGCACCAGGTTGTTAACCACAACGACGCAAGAGGCAAGGTCAGCCTGCTCAGCAAAGACGAGTACGATATCGAAGTACAGAACGAAGCAAGCAGTATTCTTGAGGCGTTGGAGGAGAAGCAGAGGATCGCAGAGGAAGAGGCGGAGCGGGCGAGGCAAGCGGAGAAGGAGAGAAAAGAACAGGAGAGGAAGGAGGCTCGCGAGAGGTATTTGGCAGAGGGTGCGGCGGCCCGGGCCAAGTTCAACCTCGAGAGGCAGAGGCAGAGGGATCTGGCACAGTGAGGGGGCAGATGCGATGTAGTTTGAAATGGAAAAGACCGCAGGGTGTCTATGTATGCTTATTATTTTGTACATTATGAACGAATGACTGGCATGGTAACGCGTCGACTGTATTATATCGCGGAGACGAGAAACCCCTGGATAGCCTTTCTGACTATGGCAATATCGACCATGGCTTCGAAACGGCTTTGAACTAGTTCACCCTGCGTACCGCCGTGCTCAACGAGATAACAAAGAGTTTTATGTCAGCAGCTTCCACGTACCCCATGAACCTCGAATCGAGATGGACACCAGGAATATTTCACCCAACACCAATTCATCTGCGCATCCACCCCTCGTCAAGCCCTTGAATTTTGAAGTCCGGTGTAACGTCAAACACCTGCTCGCTCCAAACACGCCCCGTCGCGATAATAATATAATTTCGTCATAACGCTAATTAGTACAACAAGTGGCATACTCAGATCCCATTAACATCGCCAGGTTTAACCAAATCCGTATTCTAACATCTTTTATCCTCACCAACTACTGAAGTGATTTCACTCCCTTATCTAGCCGACTATAAGAACTGTCTCTTGGCCGTTTCAGGCTTGCGCTTTATGGTTTTTGAAGTCAGGGAATAGGGAATCGAGGGGTGCTAGTGGGTGTGGGGTACCGGTATTCCTTTTCTTTGTTGGCATGGTGAACTGACTTTACTTTACTTATGGTGACTACCTACCGGTTGTGAAGATGGCTATATATGTGAGATTCAGCATCAATATTCACGCCTTCACATTCTGTTCCTGTACTTTATTTCAGAATGGAAAAATAATGGCACACATAACACTACATCCTACCTCGTCCCATCACAACCAAAGAAACTCAAGAAAACAAAAGCAGCGAGAAATAACGATTGTGGCAAACCGTATGTAATCAAAGCCCCTTTTCCCCCCTTGCACAATGTCAACGTTGAATGTTAAATTTTGTTGCTTTTGTATCCCGCCTTTCATGGCCGCTCACAATGTAAATGTGGATGTTTGCTTTTCTCTCCCGCCTTTCATGCCTGCAGCATATGAAACAACACGAACAGGAGGGTCGGTTATGTGGATTACGGCAAGGCTAGGTTCTTTGAAGATGATGGCTTATTTTCTTGTGTTGCCAGATAGAGATAAAGAAGATGGAGATTTTTTTTGTGCGTGGTAAGGGGGTTGGGGTTTATATCTACATGTTTGAGGCTTTCTTTGCGCGCTGATCTGAGTGTGTGATTGTTTGATTGTTTGGAGTTTCTTTACGCGAGGGTGTAGGGAAGTGGTGTTGCGTGTGTGGTGTGCATTATGCATTGTGGTGTGAGTAACTCTCCTTTGTCAACAACCTTGAATATTTACCTTCTTGCTCACCTCATGGTGAATTACGTCCCACGACAACGTCGCAAACTTATAGTCACATTACCATATTTTCTCAAAGTTTGTCGCAGAAATAAATCGATTTGATGCTGAATCCTCACATGGCCGGCATATTCCACACCAAAACAATTCTCGCCATCCTCCTTTTCCTCACAGTCACCACCCTCGCAGCCCCTCAACTCATGATTGACACCAAGCCCCCGCCCGCCCCTCCGGCAGGCGGTAACGCCCCCATTTGCGAGAAACAAAAGTTTTGCGGGCGTGTGTATTTCGAGCGGTCGACTGTCGACTTTGACCAGGCGATGTGCATGGAAATTAAGGGGGATTGGAAGAGTGTGTGGGTTGCGAATTGTCAGTGTACTTTTTGGAAGTGAGTTTCGTTCCTTTTCTCTTGTTTTTTGTCTGTTGTGTGTGCGTTGGAGGGGGATGTAGGTGTTGATTGGAAATAGGAATAGAGGCTAACATGTACTGATAGGGCTTGTACACCAGGACAAAGCATCTGGAATAGTGCACCGAGGGATATATTTTTGGATTCTATGTCGACTTGTGGGAAGGAGAGGACGATGGGGAGTTTCGCAGAGAAGCCGAAGTTTATGTCGTGCAGTTATAAGAATGCCTTGTGATTTGAGTTACGGGGCGCAGAAGATGGATTTGGACTTTGCATGCAAGGGGTACATCCAGGGTGGGGTTATCTGGCTTGAATTATTCTTTGTTTTTCCCTTTTTTGTACTTTTCTTTCTCTCCTGTTCACCAGAGGCGGTGTCTTTGGTTGCAATTTTGCTATTGTACAATTACAAGAAATCGTATACTCGGACAAGTTACTACTATCTCTTGATCATTGTCAGTTGTACTACTCCAAATTGACTATTTATTCTCAAAAAGAGTCAGTCAGCAACGAACTCCCTTACCCGAAGACGATAAATCTGCAATAATAACCCCGCATATGAAAACAATCCTGATTATGCCCGAAGGATGAAAGACAGTCATAAGAAGCCAAATATCATGTATCCTGTACAAGTAGGCTGTGATAGACGCATGAATCTGGAGCATTGAGCAAATATCGGTGAAGCAATGGTATAGCCAAGAATCGAGTGATTATATTTGACTAACTTGGTGCAAGCAGATTGATAGTTGACTCTTCGTTAGTACAGCATGCCTATTACCGACTATCGGTATGACTGAACATGTTTGGACACAATTCAGCTCTGCGGATATGCCAGGTCGATTTCTTTTTCTGTAGCGATTCCTCAACTTACCCCCGTCAGTATACCCACTCATGCCCGGGATGGCCAATGTGAGTTAAATGGATTACTTAGAGTAGTACGGACTCAATCCCAAATATGATTCAGGATGGTGGAGTTATAAGAGGATCTGGGAGATCTAAAAAAGGGGTCGATGATGAGTCTCGGTTTGGATGCGACGTATGACGATGAAATTTCAAGACTCATCGCCATCAAAGTCTCGTACGAAGAGATTTGAAGAGGCACAAAGTCCAAAGTAGAACCTCGAGGGAACTCAAAAACAATGCTGAAGTCAGGGGCTGACTACCGCATGTCAGACACGAGGTCATGTTACATACTGTCGATCAAGCTCATAAAGAACTAGCATGAGGTTGATTTGAAAGCTGAAAGTTGACTTCAACTACTAGATAGCTACGAGACTTTGGGCGCTCTGGCTAATCGCCAGTGGTAGAGTCAAGGAGCTGACCTCATTTCTATCATTGAAGACACAGCTGAGTTTCATTCCCCAAAGATCTCTCTCGGTTGTACTGGTCGCACTGGGCTTGAGTGTCGTGCTTCGTTGTACATGGTCTCATCTTACACAGCATCGATCTGTGTAGACCGCACCCAGGTGGTACGATATCGCCACATCGAAAGATACCGTCTGAATCATCTCGTTGCTGACACGAGAAATTCCTTGGTGTTTTCTTAGTGACCAGCTACCTGGTCGACGGGCCCTGCACACAAGCCAATCTACCTCTTGTGGGAGCTAGACATGCTGTACGACTGGTGGGAAGGGTACCTGGATGTTGCTTCAAAAGTGATTGTGGAGTTACAGTCTGAAATAGGTGTGATTACAGTATCCTTCAAAGACTTTGTAAAGAGACGTGCGCAGCCATAGACCACAACTATCACGAGTGTCAATGAATCAGCCCTCATTATTTTTCTCGTCTCTCAAGTCCGTTTTGAGCGCATGACAAGGAAAATGGGAACTTTCTTAGCAGCATGCTCCTCCTCACTCGCGAAGTCAGGGGTTTACGTCAATCTCGCATGGATAGTATAGCATATCCTTGGAGAGCAAAACCTAGGCTAGATCATTCTTTATCATGATACCGATATCTCAGTCAAGTCTGCACGAGCGTATCAGCTTGTTCGGCCTCAGCTGAAGGATATGATTCGATCATTTGGTCTTCCAGATCGAAGCTAATCGGAAATTGAAGGCCTGCTGCATCTCGTAGAAGGAAAGGAAGGATGCACATTATGCCGCCGGCATGATAGCCACACCTAGCAGCGCGCCAGCGTCCCAGCATGGCCAAAACGATCCTCAAAAAGAGTATTACAATGCGTGAATATCTCAAGAGAGCAGGTGAAGTTTGAGCAAGTTCCCGTCACCTCTAAAACTCAAAGTGCTAATCCGAATATTCGTCTCACCTCTACGATCAGCCCACGGCAGTTCAACACCCCTTTTACATTCGCTCTTCGTTCACACCAATGGCCCGAAAGAGTCGTACGAAGAGTCGGTGAGATGATGGAAGATAATGTGCAAGGCGCATAGGGTGTCGGGAGATTCGAACCTGCCGGCAGTTTTGCGGCATGATCCTACGGAGCACTAAATAAAGGTGATAATGGCAGGTTTCTAGCCAAGATAAACAAGACATGAAGAAATTAGCGCCAAGCGTGGTTGGGTGAACGCTGTGCAAACGCGTTTGTACAGCTTGTTTTCTTCTATCCAGTGTGCAGTATTGTGGACATAATGAATGCAGCGATCCACACATGGTGCTTCATTTCGTCGAGAATTGGTACCCCACATGTCGAAGGGAATAGCCAGGCCCCACATACATGTGTTATCCGGGAACTGACCCCCAATCTGAGGTCGTGCAAGCCAGTGCGATAGCCAGTAGTCAAGATGAATCAGACAACTACGACATCGCCGAGTTGGAGACGCTGCAGACAGCCATAGACAAGACAGTATGGGTTCCTATTTACAGTATACAGTCATACTTGAAGGCAGGAAGCAGCATTATTGTACACCTGGAAAATGCTTACTTCTACACGGCTGTCTGCCCTGTAGGAAGAGGGAGTTCGGACTTCCAAGGTATGTAGGGAACATGCCTGCTAGTTCACGTGTAATCTCAAAGATATGCCGAGCCATTGGTGTTCTCAGGACACTACGGTAAAAAATTGTTTACTGTAGAATGGTACGCTAGGGGTTTACTATATAGGTGTAAACTGACCTTGTGTATACCTGTAAATAGGTTTAAAGTAGTAGTTTACTTTTTTATAGTATTAATATAATATAGTTTACTATAGACCTATTAGTAGAGTAAATAAAGTAGTTTATAATAGACCTATTAGTAGAGTATATTAAATAGTTTATAAAAGATAAAATATAAGTATTAGGTATAGTAATAATAGTATTAGATTTTTTTTAGTATCCTTATATAAACTACTAGTACGTTGTCGCCTATCCTATCCCTAGGCCTAACCTGCCTAATTAATAGCCTATACCTACCTAATTAATAGGCCTAAAACCGCCTAATTATTAGCCTATACCTGCGTAATTGTAAGGCTATCTACTACGTACCTTATTTATTTTTAGAAAACTATAGTATAATATAAATTAAATAGGTATATAAGTAGTATAACTACGTAGTAATTAGTATAAGTTAGTACGTCTAATAATAGTCTAGCGTAACATATAGATAATATACTTACCTAATAAATGCTAGTATATTATATAGTAATAGTGTTAGTATAAAGAGCCTAGTACTATAAAGCTAGATATAGACCTATTATCTTACTTAACTATAGGTAGTTAAGTCTTAGACTATCTATATTTATTAATAATATATAGCTTATTACTAGGTTAAAGTTAAGCGCTATATCTATAGTAAACTATAGCTACTCCTATAAGGTTAATAATTATTATTATTTAAATCTATTTAATGCTATTATTATCTTCTATTATCCTCTAAGGTTAGGCTAGTTAGCCTATAGCAGTAGCAGGTTATATCTATTGCTATTAAAGTACTCCTGCCTATTTAGAGTTATTAGCTAGATCTTAAAATAGGTGTATTACTATCCTAAAGAAGAGCTAAATATAGTTATTATAATTATTTCTAGCAGCGTAATATATAATAAACGTAGTACTCTAGGGGTAGTTACTATCTTTATAATTCCCTAAAACCCTAATAGTATACCTATTTAGAAGTATATAATAGTTATATATAACTATATCCTAGGCGCGTGTCTATATAGCATGCACTATAGTTATAATTATAGTATAAGTGTTATCTAGAATATATCCCTAGTGCGTATCTATACTACTATAAGACTTAGATTTTAGATAGTGCTCTTATAACTAAGTTATAATTATATTTTTATTAATATTATACTCTATACTAAGCCTAAGCTATTACGCGTGGATAATACACTTATATACTAGCATATTCTACTCTAAACTAATATACTTCTAGGAAAGAGAAGTTGCTATCTTCTTAATATAACTAATAAGCCTCTCTAAAGACTATTAGGTATAGTATATAGGTAGTCTAAAATCCCTAGTATTAGATATAAGGTAGAGTACGTAATAGATCTAAATAAAGTAAGATAGTAACTAGTCTACTTTACTATAGTAGTAGAGTAACTTATACTAGCAAATAAAATTCTCTACTAATAGTTCTAACTTATTAATCTAATTAATAGTAAACTCCCTCTAGCTTATATAGAAGAGTAGTTTATAGTAGCGTAGAAAGTTATTAGTATATTCCTTCTAAAGATAGACCTATATAGCTAGCGCTCTATAAGTAAGTATAAAAGTCTACTATTTAAACAAAGTCTATATCTTATATATTATAGTGCTTTATAAGGTAGTGCTAACTTAGGTTAGTACTAAGAAATAGGACTTATAAAGACCTTTATTAATTAAAGCCTAATTAGTATTAGTAATAAGCTATAGTATAGTCTTATTATTAAATTTATCCCCTTTCTAGAGTTAGAATAAGGCTTTACGTATATTATAGGATATTACGTGCATAACATTAATAGGAAAGCTATAAGGAAAGTGTATAGTAGGGAGGTCTAACAGGATAGAGTAGTAGTTAATACTAGTATCTTAGTATAAGGTAGTATATCTAGAGGCTAGTATATTAGTCTATTATTTATATATATCTTTAATAGTAGTAGCTAAATTATTATATATAACTAGGCAAAGGGTATCTCTATTTAGGAAAGAGTATTTACTAGTTCTCCCCTTAGTTCCTTTATATAAGTATAGGCAGTAACTCCTTTTTAATATACTAGGCTATTTTATTCCTATAATCTCTACTATAGTTAGCCTATCTCTAGTTATTAGTATAAGGTAGGCGTAAAGGATAAATTCTTCCTAAGTGTCTATATTATATATATAAACTCTAACTATAAGTTAGCGTAATTCCTCTACTATTAGGTATAGCTAAGTGTCTATAAATTTTTTATTAAAAGTACTAGGTATAATAGTAGTAATAAGTATATTATAGTCTTAATCCTAAATAGATAGGTAAAGGTTTAAGATATATAGCACTACTAGTATAATACTTTATTATTTCTTAGGGTTCTTTACTATACCTACCACGTCTAATATAAGTTATAAAGCTAGATCCCTAGGGTCTTAGAAGTATCCTTTCCTACTATATTCTTAAAACTAGTCCCTATTATACACGTCTTAGTGTAAAGTATATTTGCTAGTAGGGTTAAAAGTTACCTAATATACTTTTAATTATTATAACTAATAACTATTATTATACTAGATACGTAGTTATAGAAGTATAGGGATATATTACTATTAATATTTTAATTTACCTTTCTTATTATACTAAGCTCTACTATAGGATAGGCACGTATAAGTAGTGTTAAGGTTGCTAGTAAAGGCTACGCACCTATTAGCATAATAATTAATAGATAGAAGAGTTATAGTATCCTAGAATAAGGTATATAGTATATGCTGCCCCTAGTAGATAGTATTACTAATATTAATATTATAGTATTTCTTTAAAGTTTATTATATCTTTTAGAACTTCTTATATAGAGTACCTATAAATATAGCGTATATATTAAGAGAGGTAGTGTAAAGTTATTAAATACGCTCTATTTACTTATAATATAGTATATGTCCTATTTACTATTATATATCCCCTAAAAAGTCCTCTAGGTATAGAACCTCTTTATCCTTATCTATAAGTTACATGTTATTATTATAGTTATCTATTAGGTCTACACTATTACTAGTAGAATTGCTAGCAGAATTATAGGAAGAATTAATATTAAGTACTCCTTATATATTATTAAGGTGTAATAGTTAACTAGCAGGGCGTCTAGTAGTCTATAGTATAGCGGCATCTTTAGTAGTAGTAAAGGGAATATTTTATTTATAGCACCTTCGCTAGTGTTATATATACTACTTTTAATTTACCTTATAGTATATACCTTAGTATAGAGTAAGATAATAATAACACTAGAACTTGTTCTATTAACTAGATATTTATAGGCAAGGGGTAGGAATTACCTACTACGTACTATCTATAATAGTTTCTACGTTAATATAGTACTTAGGGACATAGATAGTAGATATATAAATATAGATAGTAGTGTCTAATCTAAACTATAATGTGTTCCTTTAATAAGCTATAATATAATTATGCTAGTCTTCTAGTATAATAGCTTAGTAGCGTGAACTTACTATTTTGCTATACTAGATAATATAAATATTAGTAAGCTATATATATATTAGTAGAGTTATAAAGTTTTATATTTATTATAGTTACTATAATAAACGTATTAGTATAGAAAGTAGACTTTGTGTTATCTTCTTTTATACTATATAGGTATTCTACTTTACACATCTATATATTCTATTTTACTATAAGTAGACGTACTAGATATAGTTTATCTTGCTATAAGTTAGACCTAATCTTACCTACTACTTAAAATAATACTATTAAAGATATAGTATACAACTGCGATCGCAATAGTTAAGACTACTAGAATAACTATCTAAACTATACCTAATTAAGGAAACTCGCTAAGCTTATAAGCTAACTCTTCTAACAAGACAAACTATACTATAGCAACTTTCTATAACTATCTTGTAATAACTAAACCTCTAACCTTATTATTACTATTAGACTTCTATAATAGGATATTTAAGTGTGTAGATATATAATTACTTAGAAGACTAATAACTATTTAAGAGTATAGTGTAACACTATACTCTACGCCTATATTCTATTCTACTTAGGAGATTTTGCCTTAAAATATATTAGTTCTAGGTGTTATAGACTAGCCTTAAGGGAGAATGCAATGAGCGTTAATAATAGTATTTAGTATCTTAAAGGAGAGATAAGCCCTCCACGCCTTTTTATAGGTGTCTAGTGTGTTTGCTTAGTAGTAGTGTTAGACTTAGTCTATCTTGTGTTAGACCTAGGCTTAGGTATAAGCCTAAGCCCTTTACATACCCCTAACCTTCCCTATAAACTATCGTGAAATTGTCTTTCTAGGGGTCTAGGGTTATATCTCTGTCCTCTATAATCTATATTAGGCTTTATTACTATATTTTTTAGTTTTATTATTATGTCTTTATATTTCTTCCTAATTTGTAATAGGCCTGTATATTAAGTAGTACGCGCGCGTAGCGTCTATGCGCTTATTTTAGCACCCTACTATAAAAGTTTTAATATAGCTATCCTACCCTACTATAAATTTCCTAAACTTACTTTGTTACATAATAGATTTTCCCTACTAATTAGCCCTCTTTCTACCCTCTCTATGTTAATCCTGCCTATTTAGCCTCTATTATATCCTTATCTACTACTACTAGTGCTAGTAGTAGGGATCTACTACAAGGTAGTTAGACCCTGCGCTAGGCCTACTAAAATAAGGTGCGTACTTCTACTATTCTCCCTATGTTTCTTATACTAACTTTTGCTTAGTACGCGTCTCCCTAAATATAGCTGCTTAGCAGCTTTATTATTTCTAGTAACTTAGATAATAAGGAGTATAATAGTAGCTTTATAAAGCTGCTTCCCTATAATTAGTATATTAACTAGCTTTATCTTTTTAGCAAGTGT